ACCTTCTGTGCCCACAGCCAGTGTTCTAGTTTGCCCCCCACATCCCCCACCCCTGGCCCTATCAACATGCAAGAAGCTTCCTATTTGAGTTTCCAGTCCTGCTGGGACTCCTGCTACCTCTGTCAGGTACTCTGAGGATTCCCATGCAAATTGTACTCCTGGTGGTGCCTTTGTCACTCCCAGAATTCCCTAGGTGAGTAGCAACCCTATTAGGGAGTTTGGGAGGCTATTTATGCCATTTATCATTTTTGCATCCTATTTACATATCTGATTTGCTTTTGTTTGGGTTACGGCTGAGCCATGTTTTCGTTCTCTGAGGGTAGGAATTGTAGGAGGACATGAGAGACGAAGCCCCCTCTACACCTCTTCTATGTGAACAGTGTACAGATGGGTATTTCAGCGGTGTTTATCTTGGTATTCTCTTTCCATCGACAGTCCATCTTTCCTGCATCCTGTCTCTGCTCTCCTTGACTTCTACACTCAGCAGCACAGGCTCTGAGAGAAATAAAGAATCAGTAGGAGCTGATTAGAGTTTTTCTAATGCATAGAAACAGCAGGGCACTTTTTACCATGATTGGGTGTGCTAGTCCCTGACAGTAGCTGTTAGGAGATGTGTGTGTGTGTGTGTGTTTTCTGCCTCTTCTCAATTACTTCAGTCTTATTTTTCTCTACTCCCTCCTAGGATTAATTTTCCATACAAATGTTACCTGTGATAGTAAGCCATTTACTTAAAACCCCGTACCTTCCCCTTTTACCAAAGGGAAGGTTAGTTAGGGGTTTTAAGTAAATGGCTTACCATCACAGCTCATTGCTAGTGGATTAAAATGCAAATCCTTTCCCTGGGTTGGTAGGACAGGGCTTTGATGTGGTCCTTTGTTTCGGGATGGGGGTGAGGTGGGGGCTGGCATTGGGAACCCACCGCTGACATTCTGATGAGGGCTCATCAGCCCAGGGACTTCCTTCCTTTCTGTGCTCTCGGGCAGGTTAGTTGTGGGGCAGGCTGAATTGTGGGGCATGGCAGCCCTCCAAGAAAGACATGACTCTGCCCTGTGGCCATCGCAGGGGGTGTGGAGAGAACTCCCCAGGCACAGAGGGTGTCTCTCTGTTTGCAGCATGCTTTGGGCTTGGCTACATGTAAGTTATGATGAAAACTCCAGTGTTAGGAAAACAGACACAGAAGCAGAACAAACCAATTGTCATCCAGCAGACACTGCCTACTGGCGCCCCGAGAGTGGCACCGTAGAGCTGCCAGTGGTTGATTCGTTTTGAAATTGAAGGATGTGTCCAAAAGTATCGCCACAAAACCAAAGAAATCTTTATTGAAACCCCCAAAATGTGACCCTATTGTTTCTGGACATGTTTGCTATCCAGGCCTACACCCCTAACCCCCACCCCCCGAAGATGGTGGTTCCATTTCTCTAGCCCTTCCACCAGATGCTCTGCACCCTTCATTTAACACTCCGCCACAAAGGCCGTTCGGAGCTAGACTCCAGGGACTCAAGCCGTGTTCCCTTTCAATGTTCTTTGCGGTTCGGGAACAGGAAGTTTGTAGGGTGGACTAGATAAGGTTTCCCAAGGGAATTCTCTTAGGACAGCCCTGTTACCTTTGAAAAATGAGCAGGAGCATTGTCCTGATTAGGATAAAAATTTTCCTTGGTACAATTTTCATGGCCTTGGCCTCACCCAAGCAGTTTTGAGTTTTCATAAAACTTATTTCTAATAAGCCCCTGTGCATGTCCTGTGTCCTCCTTGATAGAGGAAAATCTGTCAGGATGACTTCTTTGGAATCCCGTCTGAGCTGACCTGTCTGCGGAGAATTTCACTGGCCCAGCCGATCCCTTCCAAGCCAGTGCTTTGATTGGGCTTTTTTTCTTGAAGGCACCCTACTGAGACCAAGACCAGTGCATTGCTGAGAGAACTTGTCTGCACCATCCGCTAACGGCAGAGGCCTTCTTAAGCACACACTGTCTGCATGTATGAACTGGGATTCTGGCAGCTTTACTCTTTGTCTTACCCTCATAGCTGGTGAGCCTTTTCCCCTAGGTGCTCTGGGTGGACGCAAACTTCTAACTCTTCAGTTAGTAGCCGAGTGGGATTGCCATGTGCATCACCAAGGGGACCCCAGGATGGTACAATCGGAGAAGCACTGAGGGCCTTAACTCTTCATGGGAAAACAGTCTGCTGCAGGCGCCGGCCCCGCTTCCCTGCTCTTAGATGAACTGAATTCTACAGCTGTGAAATCTCAGCGACCTGAAAACAGTGATATTCAAAGAGGCTCTGAAGGTGCTAAAATGGATTTTAGCTGTGGTCACTTAAAATGTATTTCAGACAGCATTTGTTTGGATCAAGAAATCTGACCAGTGTAACGGAAGACTTCTTTAAAACGTGAGGGAGATTTTGGGCTCAGCGCTATGCTGTCTAACACTGTAGGCATTAACCACAGGCAACTAAAGAGCACGTTAACTGTGGCTACTCCTATTTGGGATGTGTGGTAAGGACAACTTGTATAAACAAACAACAAACACAATTCATTTCCATCAAGTTAACTTCAACGTATGGTCACCTTACAGGACAGAGTAGAAGTGCTCTGTGGGGCTCCCGAGACTGTACATCTTTATGGGGACAGCCACATCTCCCAAGGAACAGCTAGTGGGTTAAAACCTCTGATCTTTGGTTCGCGGATCAATGCTTAGCCCATCGTGCCACCAGGGCTCAGTAACTTGTACATCATGTTTTAAAGAGTTTAACAAGGCGTGCAGAGTAACTAATTAATAATTGGTTAACATTCCTTACGTGTTGAAGTGCTTTGGGTCCACGGGGATCCAGAAAAGGAGCCCTGGTGGCACAGGGCGTTAGTTATGAGCTGCGCTGATACCTGCAGGGCAGCAGTTCAGACCTGCCAGCCGCTCTGCGGGAGCGGGGAGAGACTTTCTGCTCCCATAAAGAAGTACAGCCTTGGGTATCAAAGGGGCTCTTCTGCTGTGTCCGCCAAGGTCGCTGTCAATTGGAATCGACTTGGTGGCAGTGAGTTTGGCTTTGTTTCTCTGATTAAGCAAAATGTACTAAAATTCATTTTCTCTGTTTCTTTTCACTTTCCAAAGTGGGGCTGTCAGAAATCTTACACTATATTATGCAAGCCCTGGTGTGTTTCTGTTGAGCAGTGCTGGGCTGGGTTTCCTAACCCTCTTGTCCACAGAAAGTTCCCTTTTCCCACTAGAGGGAGATACTTTCCAGCTCCAGGAAGTCTGCTTCCTGTCCTGTACAGTTCACCACTCCGGAAGAGTGGGGTCGAGTGGGGGGGGCTAGGGCAAGCACTGCACTGCTCACTTTCTGAATGCTGCCTACTCCGGTGTCTCCAGACTCTAGTTTTTGTGGACGTGAAACCAAACCAGAAGAGGGACGAGGGCTTTCCCAGCCTCGCTGCCTTCGCACACCCAGAGGTTTCTGTTAGCTTCTTGGTGGCGTGGCAGCAGCTTGCCACGGGTTCCCTGTGTCCCTGAGGCGTGCCCGCGCATCTCTGCGCATCCGTCACGTGGCGTGTTTCCAGGTGTCACAGAAAGGGTCCGTGACCAAGTGTAGCCACACACCTTCCGCCTCATGCGCCCAGCAGCATGGTTGCCACGCCGTTATTGTTTGTCTGTTTGCCCTAGTGTTCTAGTGCGTTTCCCTCAGTGCACTGTAAGCCCCCGGAGGGGGAAAGTCAGGCCACTTTTGTCCTGTTTCGTCCTTCCTCCTTCCCACTGGGGGGCATCGTGGGTTATGTGTCGGGCTGTTGGCAAGTTAGCAGTTGGGAACCCCCAGCCGGCTGTAGGAGCAAGAAGAGGCTTTCTGATACAGATTTGTACTCTCGGAAACCCACAGGGTCGTTCTACTGTGTCCTGTGGGATTGCTACAGTGTCGCTGTCAATCAGAACTGACTCGACGGCAGTGAGGGTTTATGTGCCACTGTGCTTGCTTCTTGTACACCCAGAAAGAATTTGGTTCTATCATTGATTTTAAATCTGTTTATTTATAAGTATGTCTGTATATTACATGATTCCATTTTATGAGCTTGTTGGTACCCTGCATCGAGTCAGTCCCTGACTCACTCCATGCATAGTGAAACAATGTGCTAATACCATTTCCAGGATTGGTTCCAGATCAGACGGCTGTGGTCTGTATAATTTCCAGTGGCTGACTTTGAAAGTACATCACCTGGCCTTTCTTCTACTTGGTCGTTAGTCTAGTAAAAAACCCAAACAGAACAAACCCCACTGCCATCAAGTCAACTCCATGGTGGCCCTGTAAGAACAGGGTTGAACTGCCCAAATTGGTTTCCAAGACTATAACTCTTGATGAGAGTAGAACCCTTCATCTTTCTCCCTCAGAGCAGCTGGGGGTTTTGAACTGCAGACCTTGTGGTTCGCAGCCCAACACACAACCCATGACACCACCAGAGCTCCTTCATCTAAAAGTTCCACTGAAACAGCATCACAGCAACACACAAGTCTCTGCTGACAGATGAGAGGTGCCTGTGATGAGTTCTGTGCTGGGAGATGAACCTGGGCTCTTGCTTAGAAGCTAAGAGTTCTACCACTGTGGCACCACTGCCCCCTAGTCGTGTTAGCATTATATCATAGAGCATGTCTATGGTCACCACAATGTTTTGGCCTGATCTGTTAAAAGTTTTTAAACTGCCTCTTTACGCAAGAGTATCAGCACTAAGCCTCATATGCTTCCCTCTGCCGGAAGCCTTTCTGTCTTGACCCCCTTCTCCTTTTGTGACCCTTCTTACAAGCAGAAGAGGGCATTTCCATCATCGTTAGCATGTGTTTTCCAGGAACTCAGGTCACGGAACACTGGAGGGACAGGGCAAGGAGCGAGACATGTTTCCATGCCGGTTGCTGAGTTCACAGGCAGCTTTTCCACGGATATATTTCAGTTGCTCTTCGTGCCCCTGCTATCCAATCAACCCGGCCCTCTTTCCACTCGTATCTCATTGGCATTCTTTTTCTCGTCAGCACATGAAGAGGCCCTGGACCAAGAATATGAACTGGAGACGGATCCCTTATTTGGAGGACTGAAGAAGGTAGGCGGTGGATATATGATAAATCTTCTCAACTTCCCAATCAGATGTCAGCATTTTGTATCATTTTGTGTTGACCCCAGGGGATGAGTCAGTAACAAATGGAAGTTTATAGCACCTTTTCTGTTGTAATCTTATATGTTTGTACACTACGCCACCAGGACTCCTCAATTATCACAATAGGCTTTAACATGAAGTCACTTAAAAAAAAACACCCCAAAACCTGTTTTTACACTAATTGCATAGAGTACCAGGTGTAAGGTCAATCAGCTTTTGTGGTCTGGCTTGGAGATATATGACTTGTTTTTCAAGTTCTGAATACTTGATTTGCAAATAAACTTTCGGAAGACAGCGGATTTCCAAGTTCCAAGTTGAATCCTGCCTGTATGTGTCCACTCAGTAGTTGGTGAATCTTGCTTTGAAGTGTGACAGATTCACCTGAAGGCATGTTTTGATTTTGTAGGGTGGCTTATCTCTCTTTTCCTGCTCAGAACAGAAGCATGGTGGAAGAGCCATGTTTGGGGCTAGGAGAAAAATGGAATATTTTGTTGCTTGAATCAAATTATAAATGCTTCTTACTTAAATAAAGTGGGTTCTTGTCAGCAGTGTTCAGTGCAGCACTCTTTTTTTTCAATCATTTTAATAGGGGCTTATACAACTCTTATCACAATCCATACATGCATCAATTGTGTAAAGCACATTTGTACATTCATTGCCCTCATTCTCATTGCCAAATTCTCAAAACATTTGCTCTCCACCTAAGCCCCTGTCATCAGCTCCTCATTTTTTCCCCTCCCTCCCGGCTTCCCCCTCCCTCATGAACCCTTGATAATTTATTATTTTGTCATATCTTTCCCTGTCCGACGTCTTCCTTCACCCACTTTTCTGTTGTCTGTTCCCCAGGGAGGAGGTAACATGTAGATCCTTGTAATTGGTTCCCCCTTTCCAAACCACTATCCCTCCACCCTCCCAGTAT